ATTGCCACTCCTACTGCGACATACGTGATAGATATATCTTCTTTGCATAGTGACATAATGACTGCTGCGGGTTTCCAGACGACGCTGAAATTCGTGCTGGACTGGTTGTTGAGAGAACCCAGTGTTCGTAAAGTGTGTGTAAGTCGAATGTAAATGCGATAGGGAATCACCTATGTTGTGTGTGTAGATGGTCTTCACTAATTTACTACAGCGCCTTAATACGCTCATGTACGGTTATAAAGGGGTAGTAGTAGTAATGGTAGTACTGTTGTTGGTGTAGAGGTTGAGTATCTCAGGACCCGGCAGGAACGCAAGTCGCTGTTGACGACGATGAGGAGCAGCTCGATTGGAACGATGGTGAAGAAGTTCGAGCGTTTGCGAATGATGAGTTGAGAGCATCCAACTGGGCAGCGGACAGAGACGTTGCTGAGATGCGGAAAATAAAGTGAGGGGAAGCAGTGTTAGTTATTATTATTTATATATTAGTAAATTCATGGGCTACTAGCGGTTGCTTGTGAGGTACACGAATGTAGTTGATCTGCGTCAACGGCGAATACGGAAAGTGGAGAGATGGAAGGAGAATGGAATAACGGATCCGGCTGAGGTGGCGGAGATGATGTTGAGTGAAGGAGATATATGTGAGAAAATTAACCCCGGCGGGACTTGAACCCGCAACCTTCGGCTCCGGAAACCGACGCGCTTCCATTGCGCCACGAGGTCGTTGGAAATGTGACGTGGAACACTGTTTCGTCTGGTTTTTTGTGATGAGATGCGAATGTTTTTGCACTAGGGAACGAAATCGCTCGAACGAATGCCCCTAATTCAGCTACTTTATCTCAGCGGAAGCCATTGCGAAGTCACGCGAACACGAGGCGGCAGTCCGTGGTGTTAGCTCAGCACCGGCTAGTTTATCCTATGAAGTAGAACTCCACGGTGGTCTGATGAGCTCTCGTGCCCTCCTATATAACTATGTTGATAGGGAGGATAGCAAAAAAATGATGTTGGCTCCGGGTGAAGCTAGGATACAGGTGAGAGTCGCTATGTGTGGTCGGGTGTGACTTGTGCATTTTTTGCAGCGAGAAGATATCAATTGGGATTTCCGTCCGTTGGCGACCGCAGCTGTCCTGCTGTCAGCAGAAGATGCTTATGTGTTGATGTTGATCGAACACCGTATGACTCGGCGATTGGATATTCATTCCGCTGATGTGAGTATGCGTGCTAGCATTTTGTGTTATCTGTCCCTTCTGAGATTTGCAGAGATTTTCCTTTTTCAGGGACCGTTGGTGCACCCTCATCTGATTCTCGGAGCGAAGTTGCCTCGACCGCGATGGACGAAGAAACCTCGCAGGAAATTCAATACAGTATCGTCTCAGGACGGTTTAGAATATCTCGCTGAGCAGTGGTTGCATGATGCGAATAAATAAGCGTTTCCGCTCGCACGTTTCAATGAGATAGAAGTTGTCGTTCTCTTTAGCTTGGTTAGTCTCGTCATTTTAGCATTTATCTTCTCGCTACTGGTCAAAATCTAATGTTATTCTTCCGCACCAGAACAACTGCGCGCACGCCCGAGATGGTCCGTCGTGAAACTAAGAGTGATATGTCTATCGGGCATAAGATCGACATTTTGCTCGGACAAAACGGCAAACCTTGTCAAGAGTCCTCTCTCGAGCCCTGCTGTATTTGCCTAGAACACGGTCCAGACTTCGTGCTACGTTGTGGTCACTCTTTTCACCGAGAGTGCCTTGAAGAATGGCTCACTGTGAGATCTCAGAGACTGCGTGGCACTTCCTGTCCGCTGTGTCGGAACAAATTTGAAGTCCCTAACTCGCCCGAGTTCGTTGAGAAGCCACGCGCTTCTCCTGAGCTCAGGCGTTTGACAATGCCGATAACCATTTCGTCGACACCGAGCATTTACTACTATCGTTAACTTGTACACTTTATCAGAGAGCTCATTTGACGTCGTCATTATAACTGTCCTCTTCCTGCCGGACTGTCAAATACCTTGTAGTTTCCTTGCGTCCAGCGATCATCAGACTATTCTTATGCGTTTGACTTCACTACTCTGTGGTTTGATTAACAACGTCCCCGTTGCATAAACACTGTTCTATTGTTGTATACTCTTACTATCCCTCTTCGGTTTCTACTAGTTCGTTGACATTTCTCCGTAGATCGGAGCCATTCAGTTGTCTGCGTTTGAATAGAGCGTTGGCATTGCTATTCTCCTAGGGTGGAGATGAATACTCCTCAGTAGCACGTCTGCTGAGATTGCACTTGGTGTAAACACGAATGGCTCTGCTTCGTCCTTTCCCTTTAACTGTACGAATATCCTAATATCGCGCAACAGTGTTTCCGACAATAACACAATTGATTTTTGCGTTTGAAGAAGTAGTGTAACGGTGGCAGTCCCTTAATGGAACGAGGCAAGAGGTTGTATACCATCGGCCACAGCAACCGGTCTATTGAGAACCTCATAGAGACTCTTAAACACTTCGGAGTGCTACGGGTAGTCGATGTGCGGCAAAGCCCCTATTCAAAGAGGTGTGGTATCAGCGTTAGTATTAAAAAATATCATCTAGGCCAGGTTCCCACAGTTCTGTTTGAAACCATTGAGAGCATCATTAGAGGCTGTTGGCATTGATTATGAACATAACGAATGGTTGGGGGGGAAGGGTCGTGCAGTAGTGTACGACGAGGAGTGGAATGGCACCGCTACGAAGCAAGGCATACAACAGGTGACCGACGTGGCGGTTTGCAACTTCAAATTGGCGGTGGTGGTTGCTTACCGTAAATTCATCGAATTTGGATTCCTCTTGTCAGTTCTATTGTTGAATTTCGCTGTGTTACTGTCATTCTCGTGATTGTATTTGTCATTGTCGGTGTTAGCATTCTTCGCACAGAGTTCACAAGCGCCCTTGGGAAGGCGATGAGTCTGAGTTCGCTGAGTTCAGTGTGGCGTTTTACCATTGATGAAATTATTCTCAAAAACACTCACTCTATTTAGGTACTACAACTGATTGATTCGCTTGAAGATGGGCGAGTGACGGTATTGCTATGCAGTGAAGGGGACTGGAGGCAATGCCATCGGGAAATCCTGGCCGATATAATCGTTCACTCAGGAGCTGGTAACTTCCTCTTATGCCGATCGGTTGAAATATTAGAGATTATACTCCGTTCGGTGATGTAAGTAGTTTACGGTTGGTGCTGAACTGCCTTTTTGGAATTGTGGCGAAAATATTCCACGTTGAACTTAAACGTAACCGTGAAAGTGAGTCGTGACGTAAATCTGCCCGTGGGAAAAGCCATAGATTTTATATAATGTTATCATCTCGAGCGGAGCGAAGTGAATCGCCTCTTGTTTTAGATGTGAATATTCGGCACATATCAGCACGAGGTGACAAGACTTTCCCTCATCCACTTAAGAATAACTACGCCCACATCGAGCACCCAGTTGACGCCCCTGCGACAGTCCAGAGTTACCGCGGCATGCCTCGAACGAAAACACTCCACTAGAAATGATTATTTTTTTGTTAACATCATCTAGTGTTGAGTTTCCCCTCGTACCCGAACAGTTTACGGCTTAGTCTCTGGTTGTCCTCGTTACGCGGTTCAAGTGTAGGGAAACTTGTATATAGTCAACTGCATGTGTCGGTGATAACAGTCAACTGAATCTGAAGCCGAGAAAGGCCTGCACGTGTGAGCAGTGAGGACCAGCTAGGTCATTGAGTTCCCGAGACCTGCAGATGAAACTCCTGGTCAGCGCTAGGGTTTCGGTCGTTGGACACAGCCCCACGGTGAGGAGTGGTCTGGTCTGCTCCTGCTGTTCGTTCTGGCAAACTGAATAACGCAACAAAGAGCCCATCAAAGGGTTAGCATATCGACATCAAGTCTAGCCAAGCCGGCGACGCCGTGAACTTGAAACGCACATACATACTTCTACCCTAGTTCATATGTACGTGGGTAAACTCCTGAGCTCAGATGAGGAAGGCGAAGATATATTCCTCCAACAGTGACAAAATCATAACACACACGATTTTGTGAGCGGCACTTCACCAGAAAACTGTATTGAAATGAACGTAGTCGTAATTAGCAACAGCTCGACTTAGTTCGCCACCACTGAGAACAACGACGATTCTGGTCCTGCTGCGGACCAGAGGCTGCACAGCAGAACCAGGCTGCAGCGGCTGCATTCCCTTGTTCTGCTGTCGACGAGGCCGCGTTCCGGTTCTGCTGTCGACG